AAAAGAAATGAATCCTAGGGCTGGGATTGTGGCTCAGCTGTAGAGCGCTCGCCTAGCACAGGCGGGACCCAGGTTTGATCCTCAGCACCACATAAAAATAAAGACATTGTATTAAAAAAAAAAAGAAAGAAAGAAATGAATCCTAGATTGTTTTCAAACTTCTTGTTGGAAATGAAAGACCTGGCGACCAGAAGCTAGCATTTACCAAAAGTCTAGCGGACATTGATATTGATCCCGCCTTGAACAGACAAGGAAACTGAAGTTTGAAAAGATAACCTGGAGACTTGCCAAGGGTCAGGGTAGGAGATGAAGTTAAAATCCAGGCTTGTCCACTGCCAAGAGCCCTGCCCTTTACAATATTATGCTGTCTTCTTTGTTTCCTGGTCACTCATAGCAAGAGTCTCCTGAAAACAGCTTGTTGTTACTCTTCCAGATAGGAGAAAACCAGTCAAAGTAACTCTTCTCCACCTTGCAGATGTTTTTAATTAGATTGTAGCACAGAAATATTTAAAGTGGTTTGAAATTAAACACCAAACATTATATGAGTTTTTTCCACTTCATTAAAAAGTTACTTGGTCTTTACATTGTTCTGTTGAGTGGAATTTTATCAAGCAATTGCCTCAAAGTTATAATCTGGAAAATCTTTCTATAATGAAACCCATATGTCATAGACGAAAGGTACAAAGCCCTGGCAGAGAGGGCTGTCTCGAGAGAGATTCTGCACCCAATCTCGTTAACCAGGGTGCTTCTGGTAATCCCTCATCCCCTCACTGGTGAGAAATCAATCTGTACCACTGAATCTTTTTCAACCAGCCACCAGAAAATTTACTGCAGAGAAGGCAGTTTGGGGGTAGTCATTGTGGAAAGGGAGCCAGAGGCAAGGCTAAATACAGGATGGCGGAATTGGAGAGTCTCAAGAAGAGATTATATTAAACCTGCACCACCTTCAGAAAGAGCAGGCTGGAGTCCTCCCTTCAGCCCTGACCTCTCTGAGTAGACCCATGTATTTACAGCTGCCACGAACCTGACAGCCCTAGAGAAACTACGAAGGGGGTAATAGAAACAGCATAAACCTGGAAGTTGATTGTAGTTTAGCCATTTGCTGCCTTTTGATGTGTACAAGTGGTCATCTCTCCACTCAGAGCAATTCATGTGTTAACCCTGTAGTGACAGTCTCTGTTGTGACTTACTCAGTTTGCGATCTGTATTGTATACTACATAGGAAGGCCTATAAATCACCACCTGGCATGGCATCCTGCTTCTCTTGTGCACAGCACACATCGTAGAGGCTGATGACTAGTGAGTTCTTCATGGCCTAGTTACTAGAGTGGTAGCAAAGTTGCCTTCCTGTTCAACCTGGTAATCCTGGAGAATCCATCCAGAACAGATAGTAGTTAACAAGTTTCACTAGTTTTAGATTGTTGCTTTTTTTTTTTCTGGGAATGGAACCCAGGGCCTCATGGATGCTAGGCAAGTTCTCTACCACTGAGCTACATCCCCAGCTTCTGGGATTGTTTTCTATATGTTATGTTGTAGCCCTGAGGGTAGTAGAGGAAACACAGCAAAGATCAGAGGAACTAGAAGTGCCAAGTTCAAGAACGTGTGATCTTACCCTGGCCATTCATGCCAGAGTAAACCAACCTATAATGTCTAGGAAGAATTGGGGAGGGTCCTAGGCAGAGAGAAACAAATACATTGCTCTCCTCTATAAACAGGCAGTAGCCATCTCTATAAAGGTTTTTTTCCCCAAAAGAGATTTGAAATCCTTGGTGGAAATGTTTCAGTAAAATACATTTAGATATAAAACCCTCCTTGAAGCGGGGCGGGGAGGGGGGGGAGAAAGAGAGAATGTAGACAAGCAATATAGAATAGTAGCAGAAGGCTGTCTCCCTATTCCTAATGGGATTTTGTAGCAGCATGTGTGAGTTTGTTTCAGAAGTCAAAAATGAACAGATGTTGGTATAAATTACCTCTGTGTCTGATGTCTTGCAAATTAAAAGCGCGGTTGGCATCACTAAACAATTTCAGTAGGTTTTGGGGGGGTTCGGTGAGCGGGCGGTGATTACTATAGCAGGTCGCTAAGAATCTACACTGCAGCAGAGCAGGAGAGCAAGGATAAAGAAAAAAGGAATAAAATAAGGGCTATGCGAATTAATCAGAAATGTTAACATCTCTGATGACAAGTGAACAGGAGGGCACATGCTCTGGAGCAGCCCCTGACCCACAGCAATTTCTCTGTGCACAAAAAGGGGTTGGTGCTTAGGCGCTGATTTATAAGGCACAGCCCTCTTTTAGGGAGCGGCTGTGTCACACATTCGTATATCTCCTATATGGGACTGGCAAGAAGGGAAACTTTCTCCCCTCCCATGTAGAAGATGATGTCTTTTGAATTACTTCTACTTTTACGGTGGTTTTCTGCAGCTCTGTATACTTGGATTAGGTTGAAGGGGGAGGAATGATTGAGTGGAAAAGGGGTTGTTAAAAAGGACTGGTTAAATTCAAGGAGAGCTTGCAACTGAGACACTACAGAATCTCCTCTTTTTTTTTCTTTTCTTTTAAACCCTTTGATTCCTCAGATAATTGAGTCTTTTTAATTCTGTGTCTTAAAATATTGGTCATTTTTTCATGGGAAGAAACAGTAAGGAATTGGGGGTCCGAAGTATAGCAGGCAGAAGTCACACTGTAAGGTCAGGGCAGTACTTGTAGGATTAGGGTTTGGGACTAGGATGTCTTCTCATCAGAATTCTGATTCACCACTGTCTTGTTTCCACAGCACCTGCTTCTAGCTGTGTCACAGGATCATTTGATAACTGTAAACATTTAAAGCCCTTAATAAGTACTTGAGAACAGATGGGTAACTTATCCAGTAGAAATAAACAATGCCCAAAAGTATAAGCAAACTCCTGTAGGATAAGATTGAGGGAAAAGATTCCAAGGAATGGGGTTTTTAAGATTGTTAGTCCCCCTTATCACAATCTTTCATTCATTCCCTCAGAAAATACTGCATGTATGAGAACTTACTTACTCACCTCTGAGAAGGATTGTGTTAATGATTGCCATTATACCAAGTATGTTCATTGTTAATATCTAAGAGAAGAGAAGGGCAGGTGGCAGTAACATTACCCATCTTACAGATGAAGAAAGCAAGGCTCAGAGATAATGTCCAAGCCAAGTTGTCATCCAGCTACTAAGTGCTAGCACTAAAACTTAAACTGAGCTCAAATCCTGTGGTCTCTGGAAGAAGCCCCATGCTGCTTCCCATAGGCAAGAGAGTAGTTGATTGGATTTCCTCTGGAATATGTTAGCCCTTGACCCCTGACTCTCCTTTAATTTGGCATTACTTCCATCAAGGGAAATTATTTTTCTTGCCAAATAAGCAAGGTACATTCAAAAAGACTCCCACAGTGGAGAAGCTGGAACACCAAGGGCCACTAACTAGTCTTGGTATTTGTGTAAAGGAAGAAAAATTAACATTTGTGTTCCTATTAAGTTCTAGTTCTTTTGTATGTTACCATTCATTTATCCAGCTAGCATTTATTCAGCAAATACAAGGTCTAGCACTTAACAGTCTCTGTCCTCGGTTCTTATATTTTAGTAGAAGAAGACATACATAAACAAGTTTTTGTGTGCAAGTCCTATGGGAACTTTGAATGTATAGTTTGGTATAAATCCATCAAGGAATGAGGAGGTCGGTTTGATTTGGGGCAGGGTGGCATGGTGGGCACATGAGGCAAGACCCAGCACTAGGGCTTCCACTCCTAGCTAACATAATCTCCTTTCCCTTTGTTGGAGCTCAGGTACTAGTAAAAGCTAGGAGGTGGATAGATAGAAGTTACCCAAAGCCTCCCTGTGATGACAGTTTGTATTATGCAAAAAAGTGATTTCTTCATTGTACAAATAAACAAGCAACTGGCAGCCCACTCATCCAGCACTATTTTCTCTGGACTTTGGAAAGAAGGCCAAGGTGAAGGCACTTCTCATTCCTGCAGGTGCCTCCCTAGCCATCTCACTTCTTTGGCCAGGATGGAGCCATATTTTTGGGAGGCCACAGGCCAAGCCTTCCCTGGGCCTACTGCAGGGTTTCAGAAGACTTCTGGCCTCCAGGGCCAGCCATCAGAAACTTTGAGAATTGTTAAAAAATGACCTTGTGGGATGGGGATGGGAGTGTTTTACTGTGTATGCTTGTTGAGCATTTGCTTGACAGAGCTAAAAATGGGTTTTCTGAAGTGGTCCTTGTAATCGAGAGATGTTTTGCTTTCATTTTGGAACCTTATATGTAGGAAAGTAGCTGTATAAAACCACTGGTAACTACAGCAGTCAAAGATTGATGGTGCTGAAAGTCAGAGAAAGACACATAAACCTTGCCTGGCTATATTAAATACCTAAGGACTGACAATGCCGAGAGAGAGAAGACCAAAGCTCCATAAACCGCACTTTATTATTCCTATCCCCAGATGAACTGTACTGAGGGAATATAAACCCTGTAACATTACATCGTGGGGACAACCACTGCCGAGATGGGGTAAATGATCTCTGATTTTGATTGGAGATTATAGATGTCTACAGATCAACAACCCAGAGAAGATCTTATCTTGATTGGATTTTAGCCTCCAAAGAAAACCCCCATGAGATAGTGAACATGGATGTTAGGTTAGATTCTTCAGAAAGATAGGTAGGTAGGTAGGTAGGTAGGTAGATAGATAGATAGATAGATAAAAAAGGAAATTCCCTGGTGATTTTTTTTTTTTAAGGATGATGGTTAGTCTTCCCTAGTTAGCCTGTACCATATAACAACTGCCAACTTCAGAATCTCTCTCCAGTTTTACTTGTCAATAACAGTTTAGTTTTTCCCCATTTAGGAAGTTGGTGATGATTGAATGTGTTGTGGTAGCAACTTGATATACAGTTTAAACCAACCTGCATTTTTAAGTTAAATCTTCCTAGATCTTTCTTTCACATTTTAGATTTTCATTGATCTTTCGTTTGCTTTATGATTCCAGCCAGAGAGATGACACGGGGGAAATTCCTCAACATTCTAGAGAAGCCCAAGAAGTAGCAGCAGCTTGTGGACAGCTTGTGGACAGGTGTCCTGGGGACTCTTCCCTGTACAGCTCTGACAATGCACACCTCGCTTTTCCTCGGGAGAGGCCAGAGGCTGTACCTCAGGACTGCCCCTCTGCCTTGCTCCTGGCACTCTGCATCTCTAAGGAGATTTGGTGGCAAGAGAAGAATCTGCTCTACTCAAGGATCATTGCAGTTACTCCATCAGCTTCTTAGCCTGGGATATTGGTAACACCAGAGATCCTATCAATCTTAAAGGTCAAAGTCATGCTTTTTCATTTCTGGATATGGTTCAGGAGCCCCAGGATCTTCTAGTTGATTTGATTCCGTGATGGTAAAGTCACCTGTGACACATTGATTGGATGGGTTCTTTTGAGTTGAACTGGATCTTTTAGGAAGTATTTATGATATGAGACAGAGACCAAGTAGGTTCTGGATCAGACCATGCAGCCTGACCATGAACTCTCCAGTACATAATAGGTTCCAAAATTATCCAGCTGGAAAAACCAGAATCTTCTTGAAATTTTACCTCTGTTTTTTAAATTCTATACCTTTTGTTATAGTCCTATCCTCCAATGCTGCCCATTCCCCACCTCCCAGGTCTGACTCTTGGCAAGGGAATCCCTGAGTAGTGAGTCCCTCCTGGAATTAGCTTATGGAGTGAAAGGTCCATAATAGGTCACATTAGGATATAGACCTCAAGGCCAATATGAAGATGACATCAGGATTTTGGAGTTCTAGTTAATCTGTTACAGATTTAAGTGAAGGAGTCAGTATGGCCTGATAGATAGGAAAGGGGCATGATTTATGGGGGTTGCCATTTGATTGAAAACTAGAATCCTAATTAACCTAGTTGGTGCTATGGGATAGCGGCAATGTTTTATCCACCTTAGCTCCCTCATGGCATATATGAGATACTTCACAAAAACACACACACACCTGAAAGAGGAGAATTTCCTCACTTAAATACAGCTTTCTGATGTTTTGAGAGGTGCATGGGGTGTCCTAAATTTCATGGAAAGAATATTCCTGTAGAAATGATCTGAGGGAGTTTGGACACAGGAGAAGTTGCGGTCAAAGTTTGTGGTCTTGAATGTCTGCTAACACACAACACTCTTCAATTTAATGGCTGGTCTTTTAGCCATTTTATGACATTTGTGCTTATTTCCCATGCTAGAATTAACATTAGGTTTTACTCTCATTTGTGTCACTTGACCATCCATGTCATCTACTTTTTTTGCAGGGGTAGGGAGGACAGTTGAGCACAAGACACAAATGGCAAGCGGGGAAAGGAGAGCATTCTGTTGCTCCTCAGGAGGGTCAGTTGTAGAGACTTTGATTTTAAGTTTATGACTGATATTTCTTGATCTCCCTAAATTCGGTTGAAGAGCTTGTGCGCATGTGTGTACCATTAATGTCAAATTTTTTCTTTGCTCTGTTTTTGAGAGTTGATAATATCAGGCACTTTTACATGTTTGGGGAAATTAAGAAGTATATGGAGAATACTGGGATACCTCCCCCAAACCAACTCAAGTCTGTAACCGGAAGCCAGGTAGTTGGTTTTCTGATCTGCTTTGGCCTCCTTCTTTTACTGTCATCTTATTCACCAGCACTTAATGTAAGTAGATGTTTTAGAATTGCGATATTTATTGGTTTTGTAATTGTCATCCTTAGAAATGTTAATGATGTATTTTTATATTGATAATATAAATTTATGTACAGTGTTTGTGTGTATATTTCAAGATGTTAGAGGATTGTACTTTGTATATGATGTTTTCTGTGTCTTCCTAATAAATATGTCCCTTTTATAGGAGAGTGAGTTTTTTCTCAAAGGGCCAAGATGCATATTTAAAGCATAGATTTCATCAGAAGGTACAACTGTAGAGACAGAGAGCCTACATATCTTCCCCTTTCATATCCTATAGGGTGGTTTGGGCTTTATAATTGTCCACTTGTTTTCCCAGTTTCCATCTGTCCTACCAGCCATCATCCACTCCTAGACGATGGCTGGTAGGACATCTGTGCTTCTTGTCGGAGCACCTGGAAACCTGTGGCACCTCCCTGGGTCTGCTGATAAAGTGTGGATTGCTCCACCCAGCATGATAAGAATTTGCATGTAACCCTAATCCACCCTCCAGCTTGGTTTCTTCCTCTCCCCTGTGTCAAGTCTGTTCCAGATCCCCGCTGCAGTGCCTTTGCCCATGCCATTGAGTTTCTGGGAAGTCTTGCTTCCATTTTGTTGTTATTCTGTTCAACCTGTTATTCCTATAAACCCCTAATGACCCAGCTGGAAATGATCCTTCCCCCCCACTTCCTACAACACTTAGGTGTGCCTTTCCTCTGGCTCCCAGGGCATTCCATCCTGTGTCTAAGTGATCTGAAGACAGGCCTGACTGTCCTGCCAAGTCATAAGCTCCTCCAGGTTGTGACTGTCTCCTACATATCTGGTTCTTTGAAGTGGAATTCAAAAGCTGTTTGCAGACTTCCAGTTAAATATGATGGATTGAAAAGAAATATTTTCTCTGCTGCCCACTAAAATTCTTAGCATGAGTTCCTTTTCAATTCTATTCCAGACCTAGAGAAGAGAGAGTACACATTTTTCTCCCCCCAAAAGAGAGAGTACACATTGCTGTCACCCATTGATAGCTGGCCTGCCCTAGATCAAATATTGCCCTTCTAGAGAAAGCATTTTCTTTTAAGGAAAGAAAATTGTTAGAGCAATTCATAAGATACTCCTAAAAGTTCAAAAAGATATTAATTGTGCTAATATCAGAACACTATCACTAATTTATCTTTTTGTTATTATAAAAGATATATATCATATACATATTCTTTTAAGGAACTGGGGATCGAACTCAGTGTCCTCTCCCACTGAGCTACAACCCCAGCCCTTTTTATTTTATTTTCAGACAGTGTCTTGCTAAGTTGTTGAGACTGGCCTCAAACTTGAGATTCTCCTACCCTAACTTCCTGAGTTGCTGGAATTATAGGTGTTAATCATTATTGTTATCATAGGTTTTAAATAGATACTTCTGACAGTTCTGCCATATTGGCTCTCTAGCCTCTGGAGTCACCCAAATTATGACAGTGAAAATGGAGCAGGTGAAGTCATTCCATTGTCCCTATAGCTTTGGAAGTATGTTTGGACCTCCATAGGGACTTTGTAATGAAGTGAAGAAATTTCATTTATCAGTGGGATGCTTCCATTCTGTTTCCTCCAGGATCAAGGCATCACAGGAAGATGAACAGAGTAGAATGTGAGGACATGAACAGGTGGGCCAAGGCGGATCGTCCCAAGAATCAAATAACATTGTTTCTCAACAGTGCTCAACTCTGCCTACCTCTATTATCAAGCATTTGGTTATATTCTCCATTTCTGTTTTTTTCATCCTTTGAGAACTACAAGACTGACTGACTTCTGGGCTCAGCAGTGAAAACCTGTAATCCCAGCAACTTGGGAAGCTGATGGATTGCAAATTCAAGGTCAGCCTCAACAACTTAGCAAGACCCTTCTCAAAATGAAAAGTAAAAAGGGCTTGAGACGTAGCTCAGTGGTAGAGCCCTTGCTTATCATGCACAGGGCCCTGGGTTCAATCACCAGTACTACCAAAAAAATTGAATTAACAACAAGAAAAAAAAACTATCTGCTCCCTGCATGGGCTTCATTTTACCACAGAGCCTTATAATCCTTGTTCCCAGAGAATGGGCAAGCAATGGGCTCTCCAAGGTCAGTTCCTATGTTCTGATTGGCCTGTAACCAGCTTTTTTATCTTTTTAGGCTTTGGGTATTTTGAGTGTGTGTCCTTGACTCTGCCTAAAGAGGCCACTGGCCTTCCCACCCTCTGTCCCACACTTTTTCTTCTAGACAGGGCAGTTGGGGACTTCAGGTGGCACCAGGTGCAACCGTGAGGCTCCTAGTTGGCGAGAGAGCTGGCAGAGCCTGTTAATTAGCACAGGAACACCCTGATGCTCCATTAGCTGGGCCAGGCATTCGGAACCTTCCCCTCCTGGGGGCCCCTTCCTCCTAATGAGAGCTGGGAGAAGGGCCCTCACAAAACACTGCCTCAGAATAATATTCCGCTTTGTCCCCACTAGTAACCAGGGCTGACAGGATCACTCTGTCCATTTCTCTTCTAATTAGCACAATTCCAGCAAGGCCTGAGCCAGCAAATGGAGAAAAGCGATCAAAAGCGATCGGACAACCGTACCGAATCACAAACACAAAGAGGGCCATTCCCCGTAATTAGGTGAGACAATTCCTCAGTCTTTTCTCGGCTGGAGTTTGCCGCTAAGACTCTTGCTGTTTGGGTCCCAGCAACACAAGTTACATGTCTCCCTGGGACACTAATAAGCCCTAAATTGTCTTCCGCTTCACACAACTCTAACCAGAAGACAGATGCAGGGTGTGGGGCAGGGGAAGCAGCCCAGGAAGGGGATGGGGGACAAGATCTCTAAGCAACCAGCTGCTGTAAGGTTCCGTGACTCCAAGAAGCAGACACGGGACTGTGGGCTCAAAAGAAGAGCTGGCCCAGGCACAGCCTAGGCCCTATCCCTGGGGCTGGAGCCTAAAGCCCTTAGAATACTGACCCTGGGGGAAGTCCACTCATTCCCAGCCATTTGCCTTGCTCTGTCTATCCTCATTTGGCCTCTTTGCCACCCCTCCACACAGGTGGCATCGTGGGCAGCTGTAACCATTGCTGGAGTTCCTCTGCAGCTTTCTGAACAACTGCAGCTTCCATGACAAGGAGCACCAACCCTCAAAGAGCTCATGACCTGCAAGGGGCACCCACTGCCACTCTCACCCCACTTTCATTTCAAGCCCCGTCACCTTCATGTCTCTCTGCCTCTTCTGCAGCCCTATTCTCTCTCCTGGATGATTCCTGGCTTTTAAAACAGAAAAGTGGCCCATCAGCTGCCAAGGCCAGAAGCCCCAACTGGCCACACTCCATGTGACTCAGAGGTTGGCCACTTAATGAACAAACAGCCCCAGGATTGCAGCCCATTACAGGGATTACTTGGGGCAATGCAGTAACAAACTTGGTCATAACCAGGGACAAAGGAATGCAGGGGAGAGTGGCAGTTGGGATCGCAATTAAACTCAAGCTCTGAGCAGAACTGGCTCGCACATATTTTTATCCTTATCTTGCCCTCTGCTTTCTGTCAATCTCTACCTGATGCTTTTGAAAGTGACCTCAAGGAAACAATTATGTAGAATCCAAGGAGCCCAAAACTCAAGTCATCAGAGTTGCTTTGTTGTCTTTCCATCTTTTTTGAGACACAGTTAATAGAAAGATTTAACTTGGTCCAAATTTGCTCAGACTCCTACAGCTTCTCTGGTTATAAACAGAACTGTAGTTGGCACATAAGTGCTTAAAAAGAATTCATTGAAAGATGGAAGTATGCCTCAATATTCAGTGTTATAGCCAGTTATCCATGTAAGGACAATGATAGCTGGGTTTCCGAGAGAGGTAGGGATGAGCTTGTACAAATCACTGCTTTCTCAGCCTCAATTTCCTCAGGAACTTTTGTACTTTAAAAGAGACAGCCCAGGCACTGGGGTTGTGGCTCGGTGGTAGAGCGCTTGCCTAGCATGTATGAGGCACTGGGTTTGATCCTCAGCATCGCATAAAAATAAATTGTAAAAATTAAGGTGTTGTGGATAAACACATAGACTTAAAAGTCAGGCTTCCAGGGTCCAAATCCTGCTTATGCCATCTACTGGCTATGTGACTTGGATATATTGTTTAACATCTCTGCAACTTGGTTTGCCCACTTACGAAGTGGTTCCAGTGATAGCCCCTAATTCCTATAGTAGTTGTAGAGATTCAGTGGGTACTTGCAAAGTGTGAGAACAGCGCATCACACACTTTATCTGTTATATGACTGCTTGATGGGTGTATCTATAAATAGTTAGACTTGATGTAGTCTGTAATTTTATTATATTCATATTTGTGAAAAATTAATAATAATAACCCTATAGGGAAAATATGGTAACCTTTGGTTACTTGAAATTGTTTTTTTTTAAAGCTTTATTTTTATTTTTTTATATATATATATATTTTTGTTTTAGGTGGATACAATATCTTTATTTTATTTTTATTTTGTGCTGAGAATCAAACCCAGTGCCTCATGCATGCTAGGCGAATGCACTACCACTTGAGCCACATCCCCAGCCCCGGTTACTTGAAATTGTTAAGCAGCTGGGCACAGTGGCACACACCTATAATCCCATCGACTCAGGAGGTTGAGGCAGGATTGTGAGTTCAAAGCCAGCCTCAGCAACTTATCAAAGCCCTAAGAATTCAATGAGACTCTGTCTCTAAATAAAATGTTTTAAAAAAAGGGGGGGGGCTGGGGATGTGGCTCAGGCGGTAGCACGTTCACCTGGCGTGTGTGCGGCCTGGGTTCAATCCTCAGTACCACATACAAACAAAGTGTCCGCCGATAATTAAAAAAATAAATATTAAAATTCTCTCTCTCTCTCTCTCTCTCTCTCTCTCTCTCTCTCTCTCTCTCTCTCTTAAAAAAATTAAAAATTAAAAAAAATTAAATTAAATTAAAAAAGGCTGGGGCCAGATATGGTAGCACACACCTGTAATCCCAGTGGCTTGGAGGCTGAAACAGGAGGATCATGAAGTGAGTTCAAAGCCAGCCTCAGCAACAGCGAGGCTCTAAGCAACTCAGTGAGACCCTGTCTTTAAATAAAATACAAAATAGGGCTGGAGATGTGGCTCAGTGGTCGAGTCCCCCTGAGTTCAAAACCCGGCACCAAAAAAGTAAAAATAAAACTAGTGGCTCAGAGGTAGCCTAGCACGTGCAAGGTGCTGGGTTTGATCCTCAGCACCAGGTAAACATAAATAAAGTAAAGGTATTGTGTCCAACTACAACTAAGAAGAGATTACTCCATGCCAGCATCGATACCTTTGTGACTGCAGACAATGTCACTAAAGACCATTTGTTGCTGCTAAGCAAGGAAGAGGGAAAGCTTTTCTTTGTGACATTGGCATGTTTCTGAGCTGATACTGGACTTAACCGTGAGCTTCAAATCATTGCACTTTGCTGGGTTTTATAGTCCTGATATTTTCTGAGCCTCTGTGCTATCCTGCAACTGCCCAGAAACACACTTTCTGCTTATTCTGTCCCCCCTCCCACCAGCCCTTCCACATTCCTCCAGATGCTTCTCTGTGGCGTGAGTTGGTCAGGTCTTCACTACATTCCTGGGCTGAGCTGGGTCTACTCTAGCCTCAGCTCCCCTGAGAGCCCCTGGAGACCAGCCTGTCCTCATTCTGCAACCTTCAGCCTCGGGGTCAAATGAAGTCAAAGGTCACTCCCTGGGCCTTGCTGAATGCAGCCAAGCCCCAGGAGCCACGGTGGCGGGCGAGCAGCTTCACACAAAGGAGCAGCTACGAAGAGTCAAGTTGGAAAAGTCACCGACTTGAGGCCAAGTGGAAATGAGAAGCTCTGGCTGTGGCTGCCAGGGAACCCTGGGGGCAGGGCCACAAGGGGCTCCACCAGAAATGGTCTCTTCAGAATGAAGTGGCTTGAAGGAAGGCCAGCTCCCCAGAGCTGCTTTACCCTGGTCTCCTGCTCCCCACCACCTGTGTCTACTGCTATCCAAGACAGAAAGACCCAAGACCCTTCAGGTAGGCTATCAAGGAAATTATGGCTCATTCACTTGGTGAAGTATCAGATAGTAACTTAATATGTTTGCAAAGAAGGTAAAATATCAGAAAAAAATGATTTTGTCATGAGGGTAAGTGAAAATAGCAAGATATAAAATTATAAAGACAGCAGGCTCTCCAATTTGTAGGGGAAAAAAATGGAAGGAAGTAGACCAAGGTCATAATAGTGCTTTCTAGCTTGGAAGATTGTGGGTCATTTTTACAGCCTCTGTTGCTTTTATAATACAGGGAGAAAAAAAGCCTCTGGAGGTGTATGCAAAGACCCCGTGTATAACTCAGCCTGTGAACATGCACATGCATGCACGCACAGTTCACCAATAACCTGTGTGCGTGACACAGGTGATGACATTTGTTCTTAGATATTGCAAATGTCTATGTCTGCAAACCCCATATTTACTGAGCTCCTACTAAGCCTCAGCTGTGCCCTAGACTTCACAGGCATGTAGAGAAAAACCACTTGTTCCCTAATCACAGCAGTTGCCACCCCTCCTCACATTTCATCCACAGAGCCTTTGCCCAGGGATAGAAAAATGTCAGTCAACGTTGCAAAATCGCCATCTTGCCTCTTAGTCCATCCCTACTCTGAGAAAAGTATCTCACCAAATTTTGCTACAGAATCTGAAGGCTGAATTTCCCTAGCTCTTAGGCATGAATAACATTCCTTCAGATGTGTTTGAGAGTCTCCTCACCATCTTCCTGCTCGCCCTCCCCTTCCCAATTGGGAGAGAAGAAGATGAGGGTCAAGGGGAGGAATGGGTCAGGGGAGAGTCTGGAATTATGTTTTCATCACAGACAGCAATCGAAGCAAGAAAGGGAGAGAAGCAAAAATGTGCATTTCAGCTGGCCAAGGTGGCTCACGCCTGTAATCCCAGCCACTTGGGAGGCTGAGGCAGGAGGATTGTGAGTTCAGAGCCAGCCTCAGCAACTTAGGTTCCAAGCAACTCAGCGAGACCCTGCTCCTAAATAAAATTAAAAAGGGGCTGGGGACCTGGAGATGTGGCTCAGTGGTTAAGTGCCCCTGGGTTCAATCCTTGGTACCAACCTTATATGACGGAGCCCATGTAAGTCTCAACTTCACCGGAGATGAGTATGTATGTATGTAAAGTCGGTTTCCCTCCAAGATGAGACACATATTCAAGGAGTTGATAGAGAAGACAGAAAAGCTCCAGAACCAGATGACGTTAGAAAATAGCAGAGGAGAATGGATCTTGTCCTGAGAAGTGACTTGACCACACCAGCCCCAGGTACCTGGAACACAGTCCCAAGCATCTGCCTAGGCCTAGGAGGGGCCTAAGGAGTTTTACCCCTCGTTTCCCTCATAAAACAGACAAAAATGAATAAAAATATGTGTCGTGATGAGTAAGAAAAATCCCAAGCCTGCCACACCTGCCCCTCCTCCCCCGTGTGAGCACTGGTTCTTTCTTATTTTCCACACAGGCACTACTTTCTTCCCGACTCAGGATAGCAAAACAACAGAGGGAAAATGGCAGCTGTGTACAGCCTTGAGTCCAGCTGGACCATCATGGTAGCTCTGGGGGTCCCAGCCAGATGAACTGGGCTGGCCAGATCAGATGAGGCTCTGAAGGAGGAAGAAATGCTCGAACAACAGCTAAAGCAGTTGCAACAACAGGACGATCGCGGGGCAGGCGACACTTCCCAACATCACCAAAGATTGATGCAAATTGGTTTGGTTCTGACCCTGTCACACCAGGAAGGATAATGATTCCAACAGCGACGGGCAAGGGAGGGGCACATGGTGGGGGCCGCGAGGATTGGTATCTCACTTCACATCTTCATTAATGATCTGAAAGACAGGGGTAAACAGCATGCTAATGAAACCTGCAGATGATTGGTGTTACAAACCCCAGAGAGGACAGGGAAATAGCACGCCAGACCCAGAGAGCTTAGAAATATGGGCCGGAGATTGTCAAATGAGATTCGTCCTAGGAAAATGAAAGCGGACATGTCAGGGAGGAAAGATGGAGGTGCCCCTGGGCAGGGGGGCCTGTGAACCTGGAAAGCAGATGGGTGGCAGGGTCAGGAGGTTGAGTAAGGGATAAGGTTTAGGGTGTGTGTCATTAGCCTATGTCAGCTCTTGGACCCCTCTGCAAGGCTGGGCCTTTGCCTTCTCAGCAATGAGCCATGCCTATTTGCTATTAAGCAAAAAAAATGCCACTTTGACCCATTTTACTAAAATGAAATGCAAGACACATTTAATATTTTTTACCCTCAATTATTGGGGATGGTATATTCAAGAGCAGAAGAAAGAAAAATTTCCCCATCTTCAGTGACTTCCCATCCAATAAACCTTTCTTGGAGGTATAACTCTTTCATACAAAGTACACAGATCTTAAGTGAACAGTTCAGTGATTATTTTTTTCCTTGAGCAAATCTGGCTTCACCTTGCCTCGCCTCGGTTTCCTCATCTGAACGAGTAGAGCAGCAGTACCTATTTCAATAGGTACTATGCTGTGAGAATTAGATGAGATGGAATAGTGAAGTCCCAGAACATAGTAAGCACTCAGATGTAGATCAATATTACTGTTTATTACCCTACAATTTAT